TATCCGCGGCATTGGGCCTAAGCGTGCCGTCGAGCTCATCAAGGAACACAAAACCATTGAGAAGATTGTTCAGCAGATAGACACCAAGAAGTACCCTCTGCCCGAGAACTGGCTGCACAAAGAGGCCCAGAAGCTCTTTCTAGAACCTGATGTGATTAACCCTGACACCGTAGAGCTGAAGTGGACCGAGCCGAACGAAGAGCACCTTGTCCAGTTCATGTGCGGGGAAAAGCAGTTCAACGAAGAGCGGATCCGCAACGGGGTCAAGAGGCTGAGCAAAAGCCGTCAGGGCAGCACGCAGGGCCGGCTGGACGACTTCTTCAAGGTGACGGGCTCCATCACGTCAGCCAAGCGCAAAGAGCCGGAGACCAAGGGGTCAGCAAAGAAGAAAGCCAAAACTAACAATGCCGCAGCCCCAAAGGCCAAAAAGGGAAAATAGCCAGACTGGCCAACCTCAAACCCCTGTGGCTGGTTTTTGTGCTCAGCCAGGAATTTTAGGCTAATAACAATCGGTTGTCTTTCTGTCCTGCGTGTTAGTGCTAAGAAGGTTGCTGCTAAAGCGCTTCCCAACAAGGCTAGGTTAGTGATTCGGATACGCGTCTTCCTGCGCAGCAGTAGTAGCGTATGAGGCTAGGAGGGGAGAGAGCTGAAACAGCCGCAGCGTGGCCAGGTTGGAGGGGCGAGGAACCAGGGAGTTGCATTCAGCAGTTCATCGGTTCGAGACTTTTGATGAGGCATCTGCTGGGACCAGAGGCGATACCCAGGCTGTTAAAGGGAGGTGGAGGATCACAAACACCCTCTCTGATTTAAGACGTAAAAAACTGAACAGCTAGAGCAAAGCGGGTACAAATAATAGATTTCTGCCTGACACAGTCCATCCAAAAAGAGGTAGGTGCAAGGAGCAGAGGCTGAAGGACAAACCGGGGAGATGGGAATGGAAGGCAAGCTGGAGTTGGGAAGGAGACTTGAGATAGAGGTAATCTCCCTTTAGCAGGGATTGGATATAAGTTCTTCCTTCCCTTACTGTAGTCACTGTGTAAAAAAAGCTGTAATCCTGATTCCAGCAAAGTTCTGTCTCGCTTTTAGTGTGTAAACTGAGGACAAGCTGAGCTGAGACTGCAGCCCTCCAAGCCTGAATTCTGCTACTAGATTCTGTTTTATCTTTAAAAAGAAAAGTGTTGATATACCTAGAATGGAAGCCCATTCGCTCCCTGTTTTCATGGGCCATCCTTCCATGCTGTACACACAGAGACAGGTCCTGTTCTAAGAAAAAAAAAAAAAGACAGTGCCTCTTTTTCTTATTTTATTCTGTATTTTGCGTAGTCTTTTTCTCCTGTCAAAGCCATGTGCTGAGTTTTGTTTTCAGAATAAAATTTATACAGAAATAGTGTGTTTCTCATTCTCTGGAGGGCTGGCTTAAACCTTGTTGCTGAAGGCTGCACAGGTGAAGAAAAGTCCCAGTTTCAGAGGGAAACCAATTAGTGTCAACAGCCAAAAAATCAAGCACAGGCCTGAATACAGAAAATTTGAGTTTTAATCCTGGTGTTAACAGTGGCTTTTGGATGCTTTGTAGACATCAAAGATCTGTGGGTCAGCTCTCTGCCAAGTTAAATAAGAAGCTGGGCTTGTTTCACAGGGGCCTTCCATTAGTTTTGCTAAAATAATCCTGATTTTTTTTTTTTAAAGCCACCTCAGAAATTTTCTTAAAGGGAGCATGAAGAATAGTAATGCTGTGCATGGAGCTTCTCGAGTTGGACGTCCTGCCTGGCTGCAACTCACCGTGCGTGTGGGAAGGGGCACCCGGAGCAGAGCATCCAAAACTTACCAGTCTGCTTCTCTGAGCTGGTGGTTTTCACAAGGCTTCAGCTTAACCTTAATTCTAACCCCTAAGCTGGAGATACTTTGACAAGAGGGAGCCTGGATGCTTCAAACGAGGGCGGCTCTGGCTGGTGTGCTTTGAGGTCAACATCTGTGCTCCCCACAAGTATCAGCGTGGCTGTCGCTTATCCCATCATGTTACTTACAGAATCTGCACCCAGGAAGCCAGGAAAGCGCTGCGGGGAAAATCGGGTTTTAAAATCAGCATGGGGGGTGATGTTTTATCACCTGTTCTGTATTTTTATGTATTTAACAAGGCTTCTCTGAGTATTTGTGCTTTCAACCCTGAATCCTTGTGGCTTCCTGTCACGCTGAGCCACAATCTTTTTTTCCTTCATCTGGACAAGCCTGCTCAGACAGTTTAAGCAACTTCTAAACATCCTGTCACTGTGGTTTTTTCTCTTCCACTGGAGAAGTGGGGCCCAGGCTAAGTTTTGGTGCAGTTTTCCCAGGAGTTTCCCAGTTTAAGGTAGAGCCTCGCCGGGCAGGTTAGTTTGATCGCCTGGCTCCTCTGGGATGTTTTAGTGTTCACCACATCCCGCCCCTTCTGTTCTTCCTCTCCCGCCTTCTTCCTCCCATGTTCCCTCCACCCCTGTTACCTTCCATCCAGATTTACTTGGTCAGCAGGGTAAGTTATCCCTACGCTATTATATGTATGATATATAGTAGGCTGTACACTATTACAATAGACAGTAGACTACCTACTAGCTGAGTTTCAAATGATGAAGCTATTTATCTTTTGAAATGAGTTTGTGTGGAAAGGTGTCGGTAAAAATTGAGATACATTTCCTATGATGTTACTAAGATCTGTTACCCATAACTGATACTCACCTGGTAGTCATAGTGGTTCAGACGTTTTATCTACTCGGATTTCATTACTTACGTTATTTCATTTCAAAATGCAGTAAAGACAAATTGCCTTTTCTCAGTGTCTGTTCTCAAGTGTTTCAATCCGTAATTTGTCCTAACAGGAGCCACTTAATTAAATATTCCTATCTGATCTGTGAATACCTTCATTGTCACCACGTGGAAAGGGACAGTGGAATGGTTTTGTGGTGTGGGAAGGAAAGATCATTAAAAAATTTATATATATGAAAGTAAGAGTCAGGAAAACGCTTCTAGCAAGGAAGTAAAGTCAGTCAGCAGCAGGAAGAAGAAACTGCAAACTTACTGTCTTCAACTTGACCCCAGTCTGCATAACTGGTTGCAAAATCCTCCTTTGTCCTGCCCACTTGCTGACCCAAAGAGCATTTACGTTCGTCGCTTTATTATGCACCACATTATTACGATGCCAAGAATAGCTCAAGGAATGAGACAGAAACGAAGTATTTCGAAGAAAGTCTAACTGCCTTTTCGCTTACCTTTAGTTTACTTAAAGGAGCAACGTCAAAGTTTGCTGCCTACCGTTTTGCCACGGGATGCACCCAAAGCAAGCAACCTTTAAATGAATATAATTTCTTTAATGAACCTCGGGTAACATTGTAAGCATGGTTACCGCGATTACAGAAGCACGGTCTGCTGTTCGTACACTTGGCTTGCGCCGTTACGCTGAAGTACGCGCGTTACGCTCCGTCCCTTTGGGTTGGCAGCGCGTCTTCCCTGCCTCCACGGCTTTCCTGGGTGTATTTTGTGTGGGGTGCAGCTGCAGTGGGGATCTCCAGGCGCAGAAGTGATCAACTGGAGAAAGGTTTTTCTAAGTCCGAGCTGTAAAAACTGTTAGCACGTGCAGAAAGCGATTTACGTGCCCATTTGACTTCGGTTACAGCGCTGGTGCTTTCAGCTATCATCTGTATAGTTTAAGTGAAGCTCTAAACTTGCACAGTCCAAACAGGAGAATAAATCCCCAACCCTGGCGTCCCATCAAACGTTATTTAGCACACTCATGTGGCTTCTTTCCCACCTGTGGCTCAGCACAGATGAAAAATTCCCCCCCTTTGGCGTTTTTTTCCCCCCCGCCGTTACGTTTTCTCTTCAAAACAAATGTTTCCACTACTGTTCATCACGCTGCTGCTAATTAATACCCATATTGCTATTTGTGCCAGAAGCAAGTCTTCGGGAATATGAAGGATTCCTGACATCTGCTGTGCTAGGAGGAGTGAGTAACTGGGACTGGAGGGGCTTCCTTAGGAAAAATACTCTGTGCAAGGTGTGGCATGGTTTGAAAATGAAGGCACCAGTTTTATTTCTGCTATTTGAGCCTTCTGATAAGTGTGGGGTGTTTTGTTTTTTTTTTTTCCCCCTCCTCACCTCCTGAATTCCCACGAAGACAGCTAACAGCTTTCTATTACATATATAACACATTAGGTACAATTAATTTCTTAGCTTCACAGTTGTGAAGAACAGCTTGCAAATGCCTTCTCCTGGCTGGAGTGGGGAAAAACCATGTACATAGAGCTGGAGCAGACAAAAAAAAAATTAAGTGTCATAAAACCCTGTTTCGTCATGATTTGCGATACCGGGGGGGAATATTTCCCTCTGTGCGGGAACCTGACCCAGATTATCGACAGAAACGTGGCAGCCCAGCGAGAGCAGGCTGCCTAGCGCGGGAGCTTCTGTCCCGGGCTGCCCAGTGACGTTCCCGAGCCCCTGGGAGCTCACCTGGCGTCGGCGTGGGCAGCTGGGACCCGGCGCGGCCGATCGGAGAGGGCACAGTGGAGTCGGGGCTCCCGGGGTCATGGTGACTTACGTGTATTTAGTTTTCTCACGGGGAAAATGAAACACCTTCCTTCCCCTTTTCTGCCTCCTAATGAAACGAGAGGACGAGTTTGCAAATTCTTCACTCCTCCTGCAGTTTTCATTACTGGATGATTTGTGTTTGGTGTGGTTTTGTGGGGGTTTTTTTAAGGAAAAAACCTAGTTTTTTGATTCAGCCTCATGATTAAAGAGAGTAAGGACAAAATGCAATTTCTGAGAGGTTTTGGGTGAGCTGCTCCGCCTGGGAGGATTTGCTGACAACCTAAGCACAGTCAGGTCTTATCTCAAGTATCAAATCCCTGTACCTGTAATGAATAGTCTAACAGAGTACTTGCCAACAGCAGCGTCACACACAAGCCATGCCACCGCGCTCTCCCGTTTCGGCCTGTTCTCCTTCCAACAGGCACGCCGCCGTGAAGCGTGGTAACATGGCTCAAGGCAATCGCACCGTGGTGACCCACTTCCTCCTCCTAGGACTGACAAGCGAGCCTAAGCTGCTGACTCCTCTCTTCCTAATCTTCTTAATGCTTTATCTCATCACCCTGATGGGCAATCTTGGGTTGATCACGTTGATCAAGACGAACCCCCGGCTGCACATGCCCATGTACTTCTTCCTCTGCAATCTGTCTGTTGTTCATCTTTGCTACTCCTCCGTCTTTCCTCCAAAGCTGCTTATCGGCTTCTTGGTGGAAAAGAAAACCATTTCTTACTCTGCCTGCTTTCTCCAGCATTTCTTTTGACTCGTGTTCGCGACCGCAGAGGTGCTCTTGCTGGCTGTGATGGCATACGACCGTTACGTAGCCATTCGCAACCCGCTGCTCTACGCTGTCTCTGTGCCCAGGAGGGTCTGCCTTCAGCTGGTGGCCGGGTCATACGCAGGGATACTCACTCATCCAAACGTGTTGCTTGCTGCCGTTGCCTTTTTGTGGGCCCAATATCATCAACCATTACTTCTGTGACACTAACCCTCTGCTGAAACTCGCCTGCTCTGATGACCACCTCAGTGAGCTTTTGCTTGTAACCTTCAACGGGACCATTTCCATGTCTGTGCTCTTCTTCATCACCATCTCCTATGTGTACATCCTCTTCTCCATCCTGAGGATTAGGTCTGCCAAAGGAAGGCACAAAGCCTTCTCCACCTGTGCCTCCCACCTCCTGACCGTTACCTTGTTCTTCGTGCCCGCAGGGCTGAGCCACATGCAGCCGGGCTCCAAGTGCTCGCTGGAGATGGAGAAAGTCACCGCCGTGTTTTGTCCCCTCATCGTCCCCGTGCTCAACCCTCTGATCTACAGCCTGAGGAACAAGGAGGTCAAGGACGCACTTAGAAAAGTGACAGCAAATACCATTTTTGCGAGTAGCCGAGAAGGTACCACCGAGGGGTGCTGCCAAATCTCGTGCTCCCCAAAGCAGGGACGACCGAGTGCAACCTCTTAGAGACCTCGAGCAATAGGAGCTGGGACGCCAGGTCTCCACAGAGAGAAGGGGGGGTCACCTCTGCTTAATGTTAATTTGCACATGGCTGCATCTGAGTTACTCCAGACGTTGTCTTTTTCATAGCTAAAATAAACGATCCATACTCCGAGCGTGATTTCTTTTAGATGGCCGTAGAAATCATGACCCAAGCATACCCACTGTTTTGTTATAGCAATAAGCCAAGCTTTTTTTACCCCCCTCAGATGTGAGAGTCTACCTTGTGGATACTTAACATAGAGTAAAAGAAGTAGCATGCAGCTGAGCAGGGGCCATTTTTCTTAAGAGACCGCCGCAGGAAAAGGTGGTGGTGGGGAGATCTTTATAACACTTACCTCTCCTAACAGCTTCCTTTATCCTCCGCTTGGACACGAGAGGGTCTCGTCTCGCATTAAGAGTCGTTCGTGCCGTTTGCATTACGCGGCGTGGCTCGGCGAGCACCCGGGACCAGTAACTCCCCACGGGAAGGCAAACTGGGAGCTGAAGGTGGCCACGACACAGGGCACAGTCCCACAGCTCCCATCAATAGCCCAGGGGAAAACAAGGGCCAGATTCAAGCCAGGAAAGACCAGGACCAAGAACAACTCTGAAAGCAGTTAAAGACCCGAGGCTGAGCTTAAATAGTGCCCGAGCCCTGGGCGGGGGGTGCGGGTGGGGCCCCCAGGTGATGCTGGCCATGGCAATTAGGGTGGCTGCACTCCCTGGGAGGCAGGAACTGGGGGTTTTTCCCACCCAGTGCCCTAAACCCAGCCGTATCCAGCCTCTCTGGTGTATCCCTAAGCGCAGAGCGTGGCGGGACGGAGCAGAAAGGAGCGATGAGCGATTCTCGTCCCTCCTTCGGAGTCAGGCAGAATAAGGCACTTCTGATGTCACGTTTGCTGGTTTTGGGGGAAATTGTCCAAATGCCTCTACTTTCCATGAAAACTCCACCGGCAACTTTGATTAAAAGCTCTGTAGCCTTTCACTGCACGGCAGCGTAAAGCTGGGTTTAACTGGTTGCCCTGGCACACGTTCTTCATTCGTTACGCTTCTTTTGGGAAGAACCACGCCTTACAAAGATGCTTGTTTTAAAACATAATATTTATTCACTTTGTCATTGTACGAGCCACGTGTTCTTCCAGAAATCGTGTAGTTCATTAAACACGAAAGGTGTGTCTCGATTAAATGTTAAAAAAAACTTCGCCTACAGGTTTCTTTAGAGCACATTCTCTTTGGGAAAAATGGTTATCAAGCGGGCACTGGCAATATCAGCGGCGGTTTAGCTCCAACCCGAGCATCCCTCGCGCGGGCAGTACTTTCGGTGTGCGCAATCCAGACGCAAAACGTCGTGGTACCGTTTCGGTTTCCCCAGGAAAGCGCCGACGATTGTTTTGATTAATTCTTGGAGGCTCACGCCGCGATGAAAGTCTGACGTTGTTTGAAGAGGACCGCTCGTCACGCTGGTTCCCCGCACCCTGCGCTTGCTGTGTCATCCCCTTACCTGGAAGCGGACCGCTAACGACCGACAGCCCCTAGTCCTGCGTGGCCCGCGAAGCACCGAAGAGCCGCGACGCCTTCGCGAAGCCCGGGCACCGGCTTTCGCACCCGCAGCCCCCGCGGGGTCCCCTTCGCCTCCCGCTTCCCCAGGCTGCAGGTG